TGGCATTAAACTTTTGCTGCATATATACTTTTGGATGGTTTAAACGGTTTATTAAAAAAATATTTTTGTCTAATCAAATACTTGGCAACTTGTATGATTTTATATTTGTTTTTGGACAACTTTTATGTGTTAAAATAATATTTTTGGTTTAGGAAAGATGTTAATGTACAATACTTTTTTTATATTTGGCGCAAGCAAAAAAATGACTAGCATTATCAGTAGAGGTGTGCGAATAGTTCGAATTCGAATCGAATCGAATCGAATCACAGTAGATTCGATTCGATTCGTTTTCGAATCTGTAAGATTCGAAATCGAATAGTTCGAGAATTTCGAATCAACAATGGTTTGATTTCGAATTTGATTACTTAACGTAATGTTAATCTGGAAAAATTTGATTCAGATTCGATTCGTATTCGAATTAAAGAGATTCGATTCGATTGGATTCGAAGTAAAAATTTCAGATTCGATTCGATTCGATTTCGAACATGTTATAAAAATTCGATTCGATTCAATTCGACCATGCAAATGCTTGATTCGCACACCTCTAATTATCAGTTCAGCATTATTAGTATAGCTAGTTCGAACTTTACTGTTATTGCTAAAAGTTAGCTATTAGAGATAAAATATATTTGTTGTGAAATACAATTTTATTAGGTAAAATAAAAGCGTACTTTAACAAGAGTAGCTAAGAAAGTAGCATACGGAAAGAATGATTTTGCTGAATATTTCTCAATAGAATTAGGTAAACATTATTTGATTTCTGGTAGCAAATATTTTTTGCTGTATAACACCCAAATTTTAACAACTAATAAATTTATAGCTTTGGCAGTAACGATATTAGCTGTCCCTATTTTAAAGACACACATTAGCTGCTACGGCTATATTTTAGCTGCGTTGGCTAATTCTTCACTCAGAGAAATGTTTCGCTGTTCCAGCTAGAATTCTAAATATTACACTTAAATTACATCGTTGTTTTTTGTATCTGCTAAAAAATTGTCTGTCATACGTAGAATTTATAGTAGCAATTCTAAGAATATATGTATACAAGAAAATATAGGTCTCATAACCAAATATGATTAGAGTGTGGATTGGAGTCTGGGCTGATTAAACGTCATAGAGGAACTTTCTTGCTAAATTTGACAAATAGTTCAGTTATAATTTCCGTCTCTCTATTATCTATATTGATTAAATACAAAACATATGTGGTATTGCAGTGCTTACTAATCACTTATCCGTTTTAGCTAATTTTTCGTACCTAAATAATTCTCGCTATAATTGCAAGATTAATTTTTTTAGTGTTTCTCTGCGTGCGTAATTTTTTTTTGTAATGACTATAGTATCTTGATAACTATTGTGAAAATCGTAAAATGGTAGAGGACTTTTCGATTCAGTTTAGCCTGTTCTACCTATCTACGAGCGCTTTACTATTGAGTACCGAGAACACCTGTATATATGTATACAGCATGTATATATATATATATATATATATATATATATATATATATATGCTGCCGTTGAATTTCCTATATCGAATTTTAATTATCCGATAATGAACGTGGCAGTCCGCTCAGTTGCCAGGGCGCATATTGTTACACGGGGCTTGCGCGCCAAATTGTTGATTTAATTAACTACTAGAATTAACTATTAAGCCGTGAACAATATACACGGGGAGTATCAATACTTCAAGTCACTTCTGCTGCGTCAGCGTCGTTAACGCGAGGGCCCGATTAGAAGATAAATGTACATGCCCGAGAATGACGTGCGCGCGAATTGACGTCAAAATCATGCAATCTTAATTCGATTATTATTGGCAATTTTAAAACTCACACGGCTTAAAATTAATTATTCCGCGGTGACGTTAATAATCATGAAACCACCATCGCGCTCGCAATCTTATCTGGTAATCAATATTTTTCTTAGCAATTAAGGTTTGAATTAGAGAGTTCGTCACGTTATTTTTTAGAATAACCTTCTGCGCTGATATACGCAATAAGAAATTTCCATCAGTTACCGCTATAGAACCTCTTGCATCTCAATTGTCATCGCAACTGCAGTTTGCAATTGTTCTTAGATAGTATCTTTCGAGTTTTTTGCGTTAGGACAATGCAAGAGACGTCGACGATTTTATAAATGGGATTTTAAGAATTCAGAGAGATACTTAAAAACAGCAAACAAATTTTGTCTGGCCGCATTGAAAGCTAAATAAAATTGCTCTCGGGACAGCGCGAGTGCTCTTCTTGCTGCAGTCAATACAAAAATATTCAGATAAATGTAACACAATTTTGTGGTAGTTAACGTATAAAGCATATCAAACAAATAAAGCAATACGTTATTATACACGTGATCGATTATTTCATGTAATCAGATTGATATGATCGCGCGTACAACATCATTAAGAAGAGAAAACATAAATCATTTTAAAGTAAAACTACACATAATTTTGCAATAGTAATTAATCACTTCGTGGATTATTTAGAATGAATTATCATGTATGAATTATATCTCGTTAATATATAGAATTGATGTAATATAGATGATAACAAACAGCAAGAAAATGCTATTCATATCAAATGTATATCATTAGTTAATAAACATTTGTTTATTTATTACTCGGTTGAATATGAACTCGTATCATTTATCTTTCTGGATTACACATCTATCATAGAGAACAATAGTTGGCCTATGAAAAATACGAATCTGGTTTTAAAATTGGTTTATAAATACGTCATTTTGCTAGCAGCAACTGCTTTTATCATTAATGCCAGTGAATCTCGCTTAAATCAAGAAACATCTCTACCAGATCCCGTTTGATTTTGTACAAATTTTTAGTAGACAAGACATTGCGTGGGCGGAATATTTTTTATTAAATGAATTGGCGACTCCGCACTGCACGTGTTAATGAGAATCCGCGATTAGCTCGTTAGAGAGGCGCATCTCCTTTAAAAGAAAATCGGGGTCATTTATCGAGACATAATCGACAATTATCGAGTGTCTTTATATATAGATGGATCCAAAAATAAAAAAAGGAGGAACTGTGTAACGCGACGCGCGCGTCGTCTATACGTCGCGTTTACGCTTTTGCACTTGCGGTTAGTTAGATAACTCGAATTACCGATGTCCTGATCGTAAAAAAGAAAAAGGAAAGGAATCATTGCGAAACGTGCGTCAGTATAGATGTCGGGATTGCGTTACTAAGAGAGAGATATTCCCTTAAACTCGAGAAGATTATTATATAAAGGCTGCAGACGCCGCTGGGGAACGCCGTGGTCGTTACAGATAGGAATGAGAGTGCGGGAAAAAGCCCTTTAAAACCTATTAATCGCATCTCGCAATCTCCGTCGTAAAGCGTATCCTTTTTTTTTCATTCAACCAATTAATCCGTGTAATTAATTATAACTTGAAATTATACCACGTGCAACGCGTTCTGTCGTTAAACAGAAAATTGTTGAGAATTATTGCAAACGATTTTCTTTCATTATCTCGTTATCGTTACATTAATTAGAATTAGTCGGGAATAGTTGCGACACACGGGTGTCACCGCAGTATATTAAAATTACTTACGTCATTCTCAAATATTTCAAAATATAATAAAAGAATAAATGTGACGTATTATACAACTACATAATTGTGCGGAAAGTATATACCCGGCAAACACAAACTATAACTACAACGTCGCTGTAATATCACATAATATTCAAACTATATTGCAGAAATGTTACAATACTGCTATAATATTGTGGTTATAATTTGTGTTTGCTGGGATTTTCATTCGACCAATTAATCCGTGTAATTAATTATAACTGAAATTATATCAAGTGCACATTCTATCGTTAAACAGAAAATTGTAAGAATTATTGCAAACGATTCTTTTTCATTATCTCGTTATCGTTACATTAATTAGAATTAGTCGGGATTAATTGTGACACACGTGTGTCACCGCAGTATATTAAAATTACTTACGTCACACACATTTTCAAACATTTTAAAATATAATAAAAGAATAAATGTGACGTATACAATTACATAATTGTGCGGAAAGTATGTCCAGCAAACACAGATTACAACTGCAATGTTGCTGTAATATTACATAACATTCCAACTATATTGCAGAAATGTGACAATATTAGCTGTAATATTGTAATTATAATTTGTGTTTGTTGGATGTTTTAAAATCATGGATTAATTAATAAACGCCGAGATCGAATTTCCAAAAAGCGACAAAACGTGTACAAAATATTTACAGCAAAAAATTACACTGAGAAAAAAAATTTGTTGAAAAACGCAAAATTTGTTTTATCTTACCAAAATATTTAGTCCGATACATTCAACTAAACGTTACCACAATGACACAAAATAATTTTTTATTATTATAAACAAAACTACTATTTTTTTACTAAACTATTTTGTTTTAACAAAAATTTATCGTATTTAATCCAACCGTTAGATTAAAACTACGCACTATTTATTATCTTTACATCAGCATTATTTAGTCAGTTTGATACTTGGAATTTGAACAAATATGTTACTTGGATAACTAAATAGCATGCAAACACAAATAAATGCTACTAGTATTTCGAACAAAATAATTTAATTGAGTTGGTTTAATTAATTCTTGATTAAAAAATTTTGATGGTCGACATGAATGAACTGTACTTACCTTTCTTTGTGCAACTAAAAAATTGTTGAATCAACCACATTGTGTCAAACAACTATACAAATTTAGTATTTCGTACAATCAATTTTTTTCTCAATATACAAATCACGCAGAATCGTCGTCGTCTGCATTTTCATAATGACCCCGCGAAAATCGGGGTCGGATCGTGTCGTAAAGTGGCGCACGGACATGTACACGTACATACGCAAGCGAGACACGGTTATACTTTTTACTCTCGAGATAAAAGAGGGGTCGGTCGCTCGAAACAATCGACCCTGATCGCCACTCGATCGCGAACGAATATTAACACTGCGCATACATTCTAACCGGCCGCTTTCTCTCTTCTTGTACTCCGTAGGGTCCAAAGATGCCGTTATCGGAGTTCCGCAAGAAAAAATTACTCTTCGTCTTCAACGCTTTCTTCGGTGAGTACACACCACCGCACACAATTAAAATGCACGATATTAATTTCAACTGCAGGATATTAATTTGCGTAACAACAGTAATATCCCGCTGTTAGCAACGATTGTGTAAACAAAAATTGCTATCGTTCCGCCGATTGACAATTTCACTGGAAGTATAATAAATTAAAATTCTCCGCAATATTTATAATTGAAAAGAAATTATAGAAGCCTATCGATCGTTGTGAAAGCTGGATATTAAATGAAGGCAAATAATAACGGCGACAAAGCTGTCTCAGCCGTATAGTGTGAGGATGATATTTTTAGCTGTTCAAGCGGCCGACTTTACGCCATTCATCCATACGGGACTTCAGTCATCCCCTATCTCGCGATTGTTTTACATTTATATTTCGCGCAATGATAAAACGTGTTTAAAAATTCATTGGAATATAATCTAAATTGTTCTGTTTACGAGGTTATTTTCAATATGCGATATATGTAGAAAGTCGCCGTTGCCGCATACCGAGCTCGTGCAATTTACTTCTATTATCGCCATTTATTCCGAACAGAGATATAACACATTTCGCGTGTGCAAATTGCAAATAAATAACTCCCATACCTAATCTTGCTGATATTAAATAATTGCCAAGTGGATCAGAGAAAGAGAGAGAGAGTCAATTGAAGAGCAATTTGATCGAAAGCTATATACATTGTTAAATCTATAGTTAAATTTAATCATATTTAAGTCCTCCTACTTAATAAATAGTTATTTTTAACTAAACACTGGAGTTAAATAATTTATAAATACTAATTATAACTTGAATAAGACCGCCTATATATGTGAATAACACAACTGAATTCGAGAGCGCCTTTCCGCAGTCAAGGCTGGATCTTAGATGCCTAACGATACCTTCTGTATGAATTTTCTTAACTCCATGTATGTACAGCCGTTAAAGGATTAGTGGCAGTCAGCAAGTTAAAAAAAGCACTTTTTTGCGATTTTTTAAAAAATTTATCGATTTTAATTAAAACAATTTTAATGCATTATAAAGTAAGTTTTAAAGAATGTTTAGAAAAATTTTCATGTAAAAATATTCATTTTTCCGGGCATAACATCTAATGGCGTTTTAAAGAAGGTGGCTTGCGAGCAAGATTTCTCGGGACTGGATCATCTGTAAGTAAAAATATGGATGGATTAAAAAAATATATTAGTTTTGCGGGTCCCTGATCAAAATATTTTTTATTTTCTTATATACTTTTTTTTATTCTCAAAATAAACGCTTCTTTTTTTTACGTAAAAATTTATTTTGCACTTCCAATGTCCGCCATTTTCTTTCTAATTAATTTTTCCCAGAATTCTTCGACCAGGGACCCGCAAAATTAATATGATTTCTAAATTCATCCGTATTTTTGCTTACAAATGATCCAGTCCCGAGAAATCTTGCTCATCGCAGGCCACCTTCTTTAAAAGGCCGTCCATGCCATCGGTTGTTATTGCCCAAAAAAATGGATTTTTC